CCTGACAGGAAAGCCAGTTATGGTGAAACTCAAGTGGGGAATGGAATATAAGGGCTACCTGGTCTCTGTAGATGGCTACATGAACATGCAGGTAAGCTAAGAGTTCTAAGAGCTGTAAAACTGTGTTTGTGTTGTTTTACGGGACTCCTCAGTTTTACTCTGACTGATAATATACACAATTAAATTGACAAACATAAAGCAGAATTCAGGATTGAAGTATACTCCAGGGACGATGTTGAAACTGTGATGAACTTAGTGGTGCTAAGTTCCAGTATTAAACAAGAACCCTGTCATTGTCCTTATACTATGGCAGCCAAAGAAAGGAGAGCTTTGGCATTTGGTTTCTAACCCCACAAGGGAAAAAGTAGTTTATTACAGAAAGCAAACTGCCCAGCACTTCCTTCTTCAAAGAGTTTTTAAGGGGAATTTTTAAACTGTTTTAATGAATTTTAGAGACACAGCATGAAAGTAGTTTGCTGAAAGCATTTTTTTCTTGGGACAGACAGATGGAACAAAAGAACTGATAATTGACTGTGGCTTAGTTTCTGTCAATGATTCGGCCAGTCTTTCTCTCCTAAAATGTGTCTATTTCAGCACTTAGGGCTATAATTCAGTGGCTTTAGTACAGTCACATTGCTATGTGGCCATCACCATTACTCATTTCTAGAATGTTTTCTTCATTCAAAAGTGGAAAACTCTGGAACCACTAGAAAATTCTCTGTTACCTACCTCCTCCAGTCTAGTCCCTCATAAACTTTGTCTGTTCTCAGCTCCTCATGTAAGTGGAATATATTACAGATTCAGTTAACTCCAGATCAAAAGATTTTGTTAACCCCATAAACAATATGGTATAACAACTATATATGTAATATACCAAACTGGGTTATGAGTGACCTAGGACATTAGGTTAAATGCAAATACTCAGCTATTTGAGATAAAGAGCTCAAACATCCTTGGCTATCTGAGAAGCTCTGGAACCAACTCCCCATGAATGCCTCCAGGCAGACATTTTGGTCTTTGGTCTGGTGTGACCATTCATTGGTGTTATAAAATGTCAGGATTTATAGCTTCTTAGGACTGAGTAACGTGCCATTGTATGGGCATACTGCATCAGTTGCGTAAGTATTGGAGGTCAAACCCAGGGTTTGTACATGCTGCACAAACGGTCCACCACTGAGTTCATTCTCAGCCTATTCACTCATTTCTGTTTCTGTGTGCAGATGTTTGCCAGCATGCATGTATGTACACAAAGAACACATTGGACACCCTAGTACAGGAGTCACAGATGCTGTGGGCCATGATGTGGGTGCTAGGAATTGAACTCAGGGCCTTTGGAAGAAAAGCAAATGTTCTTACCCCGACCCAACTCTTCAGCCCCAAATAAGTTTTTTTTTTTTCTTTAAAAGTATGCTTTTAACTCTTGAGATTACCCATGTTTAATGTCTTGGAGTACCTGTCATACTGTTTTGCATAGCACCTGCATGGTTTTAATGCCTTCAAGTGGTGCCCAAGGGTTTACATTTGCCCACATATGCACTGACACTTGTTCTCTGTGAGGTTTCCCTCTCTCTTTTACATGTATAAAATATTATTCTCGGTTGGGAGAGATGGCTCAGTGGTTAAGAGTACTGGATGCTCTTCCAGAGGCCCTGAGTTCAATTCCCAGCAACCACATGGTGGCTCACAACCATCTACAGGCCAGAAAACTGCATACATAATTAATAAATAAAATATTATTCTCTTGGATTAGAAATGGTGTGTCCTTTTGGTCTGCGCTTCCTCTGTGACCGTGAGGACCTTTTCATGTGTTACTAGCCATGTGCTTATCATCTTTGGAGAAATGCGTGTTCACATCCTTTGCCTGCTTTTATATTTACTTATTTGTAGTTTTTGAGTCTCCTTGTGTAGCCCTGGCTGGTCTTGTACTCAGAGAGATCTGCCTGCTCTACCTCCCAAGTACTGAGATTAAAGGCATACGCTACCATGCATGGTATCTTTGCCTACTTTTTATTTGTGTGTGTGTTGGTTTAGTTGTAGTTTCTGCCAGGTTTTAAAGATTACTTATGTGGCTAGCTTGACCAGAAATCCAGGTAACAAGAATACAGAAATTCTTGTTCTGGGAAATTCTTGAAGTGAATCATTCACAAAAGCTATAGAAAAGTCATGGTGGAAAATACTGTGGAATTAGTGATTAAAGTTCAATTTTATGAATGTGCTGAAAAAAACCACAGAATTATGATTTAAAAGTTTTTTTTTTTCTAGACAGGATTTCTCTGTGTAACTTTGGAGCCTATCCTGGCACTCACTCTGCAGACCAGGCTGGCCTCCAACTCAGAGATTCGCCTGCCTCTGCCTTCCGAGTGCTGGGATTAAAGACCTGTGCCACCAACACCTGGCTTAAAGTTAGTTTTGTTCCACCCCTGGGCAACATAATTCGGTTTTCCAGTTTGTAGCTTCCCCGAGTTACAAGATGTATCTCTGAGTGACCCTAGTTAGCCAAAACTTACTGTTTGATACTATGACTGTAACAATGAGCTTGAGCTCGTTTCAGTGGTGGGAGATGATAATGTAACAGAGTTAATTAGGCATGATACACAGTATGACATAAAATGAGGCGATAGAGTGTTCAGTAATACAGGATAGTCTAGCCTCTCTAAAGAGACCACAACCATGTGGGAGAAATGGTCTCTGTTGGAAAGAGCAGAAGATGCAAAGCCTCATCCACAGGGGTGTGCTTGGTGTGTTCAGGTACAGGCGGCCAGATTGGTGTTAAAAATGGAAGTCACTGAGAGCCTTTTCAGCAATAGTGAAGGCTTTGGGCATTATTGTAGGTAATTTAGAAGCCAGTTGAGGGACACTTCAAAAATAATTACTTATAAAATTATTGGCTCTTAGTAGATTACTTCTGATAGCAGTTATTTACAAAATGAATAGTCTTACAAACGACTTTGGTGATATGTTCTCTGGGAGTTTTGTTTCCTACAGAAAAGAAACATGTAGCAGGTTTGAAATGCTTTGCACTTCATCTCCCGGTTTTTCTTTCCTTGTCCACCACCTGCTTATGAAGGAAGAGCCATTTTATTCTGGCTTTGGTGGTGGGTTTGTTTTTATTAAGAAAGATGGCTAAACATTTTTAATTTAAAATTAAGAGTTTGCTCAAGTAATTCTACAGATCATTCTTGACACCCCCTCCCCCAGTACATGAAATTTTCAAAATCTTTTGTACACACATTTGAATAACTTAATATGATTCATAATGTTTTGCTCTGAGAAAGTTAATGTCTGATTCCTTGGAATTGAATTTTTAGAAAATTGAAAAGCTGTAACTCAAAGCTTTCTTTGAGCCACTTTGATATCAGCTAGAAATAACATCTAGGAGGCTTCACAGCTTTGAAACAAGCTTTATTATACATTAGTTTTGTACCATGCATGTCTTAATGAATACAGAAGATCCAGAGATACAAGAGTAATAGAAAGCTAACCTTCTACTTACTAATTACAGATACAGTCTGAGTTGTTGGTGTAGAGTGGTCTCAGTTAATATGCACATTAACTATCATCTTTCTTTTTATCTAAAGCTTGCAAATACGGAAGAATACATAGATGGCGCGTTGTCTGGACATCTGGGTGAAGTTCTAATAAGGTAATAAGCGCATTTGTGTGGGGGGAGTTACTGGTGAACCTCAAACAATCTGCTTAAATAACTTAGTCCTTCATCTGGGGGATTAAAGAAAAAAAAAAGACTTAACAGTACTCTACATCTAGACTTCAGAAGCCTTCAAAATTACTGAATTTGTTGGGAGATTTTACTTCATCCATCCTCCAGGTTTTCCTATTATTGATTACATTTCCTGGTCCTTAGCTGTAACCCGTTTCAGTGTCCTGGGTTATGGAGCTTGGATTTGTATTTTAGTTGAGTCTAACTGCTAAGGATTTCTGTTGTATTCATTTTCTAGTATGAGTAACCACCTACATTCTGATAAGTTGTAAAGGTGTAATTGTGATGAGGGTGGTAAAAACATGTGCCATGTGCTTTTAAACACCATCTGTATGGCAAGCTTTAAGTTTAATCTAAAAATGGAGCAGTGGTGAGGTCATGTATGGCTTGAGTGAAACATCAAAATGGACCATTTTTTTCTGTTACAGGTGTAATAATGTCCTTTATATCAGAGGTGTTGAAGAAGAGGAGGAAGATGGGGAAATGAGAGAATAGCATCTTTGGGGTTTTGTTTTTTTTATATATATATATGTATTTCTATACAATAAAGATTTGGGTTTTTTTCAACTTGACTTGTGAACTATTTGTATGCAGAGCGCACATGTTGGAACAATGGACGGATAATTCATAGAACTAATGCTTTAAAAGCCACCCAATTTTTTATAAGCCCTCTGCTATTTTCATTTTTTTTCTATAAAGGATAAATAAGCTTATGCTTTAGAATTTTTTGAAGGTGAGTTTCAGCCATTGTAATTATATTAACTGAGACTTAAAAGCAGCTGTTTAAGGTTTTCAAATTACTTGTAACATGCATAAAGTAAAATACTTGTTTAGTATTTATAGTATTAATAAATTATATATCAATAAAGATTAAATAATGTACATATTGTAGCTAAGTCAAAACATGAAATAATTATGCAGACAGAGCATAATACAAACTGACATTTAGGCTAAAGGTATGTGGTTTTCTGATGAGGATTTCAGAGCTTACTATGAAATAACCAGTCTCATGATCCAAGACTGTAGTCTGTTTTTTGTATGTTTAAACCTGTCCTGTTATTCTAAGAACAGTACATTGTTAAAATGTATATTTGTAGCCAAGAACTTCCTTAATTGCTTTAGAAAATACGATTAAAATTCCCATGCTTTGAGGGAGACCATTGTGCTCTAAATCATCAATACATTGACTTTGGATGTGTGGCTCCAAAGGGGACAACTTAAAATACAGTATTGTTTAGCTCATGGAGTAATACCAATGAGTACTAGTTTTAGCAGAAGAAAACAATTGCCATTCATACTCCTATAAACCTCAGGATAAAGGTCTGCCTTCCTGGAATTTGTTAGGACAGTATTCCATCACTGAATGCCAACATTCACATAAAACATTTGCTAATTAAATGTCTTCATGCTCCTGTTCAACTAAAAAAATACTCTTCCTCCAGTGATTTTGTTCTTGTATCACCGACTAAAAGTAGCTCATGCTTGGTAGCAGATGGAGGTTTTGAACGGTACACCAGTCGTCTTCCCAGCTGAAACAGGAAAAACAATTTTCTTTGGCATAACTTTTCTATTGCACTATGTATGTCACTATTAACTTGAATATTTACATGATTAAAATGGTTTAAAATAGTAAAATAAGTTACAGGAAATTGATATAACCTAATAGATGTCCAACATGCTTGGCAAGTTGAGCACTCAAGAATAACAGAAGACAGCAAGTGGCTTTCATGGTCAGTGGCCTGATTTACAGAAAATCATTAAGGAGCAGGCATCTCAAATATGGCTGGCTAATGTCTAAACCCTTTTGGACACTAATGTTGCATTATTTAGTGCTGTACCTGGTCTTTCCTCCGTGGCTGCAAGAGGTTGCTTTGTTAAGCCAATTTTGAGAAAACCATTTTAAACATCAGTGTTCTTGTTGGGTCTTGGAAGTTGCTTGCATGAGTAGGGCTTAAGGAAACCTGTGATTCATACCTCTCTTCTGTTTTGAAATTACAGGTGAATTTTTGTAACTTAAGGGTATGGGTGAGGGGACTACTATATTTCATGAGACATGAGATCTGAATCCCCAGTGTGCCTCAGAAGGGACACAACCTGGCTGACTGGACAGTTCGCATGTGGAACTGGAACAGGGACCTGTTAGGGCAGAACACAAACCTTCTTCTTGGGTTGTGCTACTGCTCTTTCCAGAGCAGCTTTTAGCCGCTCCTCCTGGTGTCTTTGCTTCTCTTTCATCTTCTCGTCACGCAACCTGTTGTAGGGGAGAAGGAACATTCTTACTAGAAATTCTCTAATTCTTAAAAAGTAAAACATCTCCTCCATTTGTATTGTTTGGTAACAAACTATCCAAGTGTAAGATCCCCATAATGAAGACTTTGGAATATATTGGGGCCCTGGTAAGATTTAATTTCACCATTTTGGAGAAGGACCTCTTCCCAGTTTGGTCAGTAGTAAGGCCATGTCGTCTTCTCTCCATCCCACCAAAGTACTTTATACCACAGACACTTTAGCTCCCAGCTACCTTCCTGGCCTGCCTTTAAAGTTTCTTTAAATGTGCACTAGTGCAGCAGTTCTCAACCGGGGGTGGGAGGTGGGGGAGTGGTCAAACAACCCTTCCACAGGGGTCACATATCAGATACCTTGAACATCAGATATTTAATTACAATCCATAACAGTAACAAAATTAGTTATGAAGTAGGAACGAAAATATCAACTATTAAAGGGTCACAGCATTAGGAAGGTTGAGAATTGATCTAAACCATGGTTTTTGGAAACTACAACTGTATGCATATTTACTATTTGAAAATAAGTTGTATTCACAAGACTGCTATTATAAAAATAACCAGAGACCATCTGGCAGGAGTCGTCCTCCCCTTAGATTAAGTTGCTTTATATTCTGTAAAGAGCCACTTGAGTCACCTTCATTTTTACATCAAAGAAATGATATCCTCTGTGCATCAGTAATATTAGCAATATCAATGGCTAGTATATCAAACATGCTCAGTGTTTTTACATTGGTTATTTGATACATCAACCTTATGAAGTAAATATCACAGCTTCTGCCTTTAAAAAAAAAAAAATGAAATAGACCAGACAGATGCTTCCTACTTTAGGTCATAGTAGTTGGTAGCTAAAAGGGCAGGAGGCAGGCTCCATGCCTATACCTGGCACACCTGGGACCACAGTGCTCATCTGCCTCTCCTAGTTTCCCTTGGCTAGAACGTGAATATTGTGACTACTTAATCAGCATTCCCCATGTGAATATAATGTCGCAACCACGTTATATTGATAATAGTTCTGAACAAAATGCCTATGAACAGTTGGGCGTTGGTGGTGCACGCCTTTAATCCCAGCACTCGGGAGGCAGAGGCAGGCGGATCTCTGAGTTCAAGGCCAGCCTGGTCTCCAGAGTGAGTGCCAGGATAGTCCCCAAAAGCTACACAGAGAAACCCTGTCTCGAAAAAACAAAAACAACAAAAAAATGCCTATGAAAACTTTAACTTGCAGAAGTTTAAGGGTGAGGTTTCAGGGAAGACAGTCCTATAAGGTTGCCTGTGGGAAGAAATGAGTGGGGTGTAAGTGCCAGCTAAGTGTTGTCAAGGGAAACCCCTCATCCAATAGCTCTGAACCTCAAGCCATTCCCTTCATATACCAAGTTGCCTGTGATCTTCTAACGAGAGACCCTTTCCCCATAGTGCAGTTCCTGCACATGACAGCCCTTGAGCAATGTTCATAGTACTTGAGACACCCTCCCCACGGCCATCCTAGCTAGGTCACTTGTCCCTGGTGAACTGTACTTTCCCAGCTCCTTTGGTTCAGAGTGCTCATTACAGTGACAACAACACATTCATTTCCCAAGAACATTCTTTGCGGAGGGCGGGCATGAGTTGGCCCCCTTCACTGCATCCCCACACTGCAATGCCTACCACATAGAGATTGCTAGCAGTGGGATGGGATTTACGCAAAAGCAGCCACTTAAGCCATTGACTCTACTGAGGAGACTGTCATTACTTTTGCCGTCGTTCCTTCTGTTTGATCCTTTCAATTGCTTCCACGTTTTCTTTAGGAATAGATTCAATGAGGTCACTGAGTTCCACCAGGCGAGACTCTACTTTGACCAGTTTTTGAACTGCATTCAAGCTGCCAACCTCAGCATCTCCGATGCAGACTCTGTATACTTGATTGATCTTTTTACTAAGTGAGTCTATCAGCTTTTCCTGAGCTCAAGGAGAAAGCAGAAAACATTCCATCACTATACAGTGACTCACTGTCAGTAAATCCAAAATTCCATTCTACAGTGTTACAATGAAAAGTCCTGTAAGTGTCATTATTATTCAGTGCAGGGCCTACTGCATGGTAAGCAAATGTTCTACCACTGAGCTACACCTCCAACCCCCTAAATGCTTCTTTAAAAGACAGATCAGCGAGAACATGCAGCAGGGAATATTTGTGTTGTATTTATAGTCAGATCATTATTACAGTGACACCTTGGCTTATATTAGAGTATATACAATAAGTACAAGTATGTCTTAAAAAGTATTTATACAGTATCGTTTGACTCAAATGTTATTGTGTACCAGATTCCTTAAGTGTTCCGAGAGCAGATAAAATACACATTTAAAATCACTTCGTGCCACCAGTGGCATAATGTATGTTCCTCCCCTTTCTTTTGTTACTGTGTTCTACTCACTGAAAGTCTATAATGCTGCATGATAGTTATTTGCATAGGTGCCCAGTCCCCTTGAGGGGGATGGGAGCTGGAGGGCAGGGACTACTGCTTTTGCTACCATGCACACCTGAGACAGTGTCTTACACATAGCTACATACTTAATAAATGTTTGCTGAATAAATGAATGCATTCTTTCAGAGAAATGTGTGTTCAAGCAAACAGATTGCTAGGCTGTCCAAACAGCCTTTTAGGAGTTGAGTTTTAGAGCTCTCCATGGGGAAGCCACTGCTGTATTCTAGCCTAAAGAGAATTTAGGCCGAAGCCCGCCAATCCCTGTACCTCGCTACTGCGCTGTTTAACTTGATGTTGCAGTCTCTTGAGCTGGTAGTAACTCGGGATATGTAAGAGATCATCCTTTATCTCCAGTGGCTAGCTGATATTCGCCAAGAGGGACTCAATAAACTTCTCAGCAAAGTAAAGCGTTTTCCATGCACGTTCCTGCCTCAGGGCTGCGAACTTCTGCTCAAGAAGATGAGAATCACCATACAGTCAAGAGAAACCCACCCGAGGCTGATGTGACTCCCATTGCTGGGGAGACCATCCTGGAACCATAAATGCCTCAGTCACCATCACTTAAAGCCAAGGTCTGTGGCTTCCAACAGCTTGTTGCTCCCATCTCCTGCTTTAACAAATGTGCTGAAGACCCTGTATATTGCAAAGCTCCTAGTGTCTCACTTTGTAAACACTGTATTTCCATTTATACTAAAAGAATAGTCATTTTTTTTTAACTTAGGGAAATACAAGACAAAAGAAAACCATAAATCCTATTTACCATGAAGCCCCGTCCATCTGTTCCCACCACACTTAACTTTGTTTCCTGTTTATAGATGCACATATTCTTTTCAGAAACCTTGGAGACAGCTAAAAGGCAGAAAGTATAAAGGGAAAAAGTGGAAGTACCCCACCAAGAGGGCGGGCAACACATGACAGATTAAAAGAAAAAAAAAAAATTGCCCAAGGTCTAATTGTGGTTCGTGTCTATAATCCTAGCACCTAGACTGAGGCACACTATTGCCATGAGTTTGGGTCAATCAATAGGATCCTGTCTTGAAGAAACAGGAAAAAAAGTTCTAACTCTAATGTACATGGGAATTTAATGTATTCTGGTTTTTAGAAAAACTGATAGGAAGGTGTTCATTTTGATGGATGTTTCTGAAGGCTCCTTGAACACAGAGTTGGGGATGGACAGATGGTGACTTTCCATGGTGTTTTTGTTTTTTTACGTTCCCTAATCGAACAGGAGAGGGAAATACAAGATGAGGTACTTTCTTTAAACAAGATGAGGACAGATGAACAACTACGAAGGAAATGAAAGAAGTCAGCTTATGAAAATGAGATTGACTCTCTGGTCCTGGGTAGCTAAAGGGCCAAGGAAACTGTTCCAGGCTGAGGCCAACTGGTGACATCATACTTTTAAACTACCACTAGAGGGCAGACTCAGACCAGAGCCTGTGGGAGGAGCAGCTGCTCAAATTGGCTGCCTTGGCAGCAGGTGCTAAACCTTCACCAGGGCCAGTGGGCAGGAAGATGGATCAAAGCTGGATACCCAGACAACAAAGTACCTGTCAACAGTGAATGGGACCTGTTGGGACCAGAGCAGTATTTCAAACAGGACAGCTGTCTGAATGCCAGGACATGTTCCTTCCAAGTCCATACTTCTAATCCATGTCTGTTTCCATGGTAGACTGAGTATACACCTCCCAGCTGAACTTTGTGAGCTCCTTGTGTGCACACATAAAACCAGAGATACCACATTCAGCAAACTGAACAACGGGCCAGCAAACTTTCCTCCCCGAGGCCACTAGCCGCTGCTACTGAAAACTGTGAGGGTGAGCCCCACAAACATGATGAAAGGAAAAAAGACACAGGCCAATGTTCTGTCTCTACAGAGTTCAAAACAGCAAAGTGAAGCAATGGTGAGAAGTCAGAACAGTGATCACCTGTGAGGTACAGAGAGATCCAGGATGAAGTTCTAGTATTTAGTCCCCCATTTGTGGGCTGCAGGGGGCTGTGTTCACTTGAGAAAATTCCTTAAGAGGTAAACATTATTTACCTCTTTTTAATTTTTTAATTTTAATTTTTCAATGCTAATGTTATTCTGGAGTTTAAATTTTTATTTAAAAAATACTGAGAAGTGCTGGCTGGAGAAATGGCTCAGGGGTTAAGAGCACTGGCTGCTCTTCCAGAGGACATAGGTTCAATTCCCAGCACCCACATGGCAGCTCACAACTGTCTGCAACTCCAGTTCCAGGGGACCTGAGACTATCATATAGACAAACATGCAGGCAAAACACCAATGCATATAAAAATAAATAAAAATTAAAAAAATAAAAATACTGAGGAAAACAATTTTAAGGAATTGTCATTTGTTAAGAGTGGCAGTTTTGAAGTCTCTATGGATACCACAATTAGGTGTGCCACATTGGCCTCAATAAATCTGGGGGGGACGACTTAAATTAGGAATGATGGATGTTTCTTCATAAAGGTCCATGTTTGTATACTTTAAGATTGGAAGGATTTGAGGAAACTGGAAAACTAAGAATATAATACCTCATCCATGGATCTAGGGGGTATAGCTTTGGTCCAGTGCATGCATGAGAGGCACCCAAGAACTTCATCAAACTGGGTATAGTGATCTTAAGAGGGAAGTGTAGGAGGAGAAACAGACATCCTCAGCTGCATAGTTTGAGGCCAGCATTAGATTATGAGACCCTATCTTAAAAACAAAACAAAACCCACTTCTGATTTTTCAATTTTTTCCCTCTCCTTCCATACCACACTTCATATTTTTGGAAGACCATGTGTTACTAGCCCATGCTCCAGAGTGCACCTGCAAATTGTGCATGAATGCCAATTTTACTCTTGCGACTCTTATTTTGTGGATAATCTTAAGAAGGAATTTTCAAACCAATTCTCAGTTCCCTTACCATCTGGGCATTGAGCCCTGGGCCTTTCACAACTAGGGTCTCCCTTCTCTTAGTTGATTCAATGTTTAAAAGTATTTTTCTCATAGTTCCCTACCCTGAGACTAGAGGGCTTTGGAGGAGGGGTGGATCCCATTAGATATCACAAATAATTTATCTTTTACTTTACAGGGTAGTCAGCTTCAGAATTATTGAAGAGTTGAAGGATAAAAACAACCCAAGTGTCTGCCAGTAGGTGAATTAGTAAACGAAGTATGGTACATAAGGTGGAAAAAATGTTTGTTTTTTCAAGACATAAGATGCAATATTATTCAGCCATGATTTGGATGAGTCCGAAGAACATTATTCTTTGTAACATGAGCTCTAGACAAAAGACAGGTATTGTTCATATCCACTTATATGAACTACCCAGAAGAGTCACATTCAGAGACAAAAAGCAGACGTAGGCGGTGGTTAGAGAGAGCGCATGGTTAGAGGGGAAGCCGCTTTTGTAGGACCGGTTGCAGAGCAGTGTGAACATATTTAACACCACCACACTGTACATCCAAAAAATTGTTAAGGTATTGAAGCTTACGCTTAAATGATGAAGTTTTGGAAATAGACTGTGGTAATAGTTATGCTACATGAATGTGCTTAATGCCATCAAGTTGCACACTTAAAATGGTTAGATGGTAACTTTTATGTATATTGTATCACAGTAAAAAAAAAAACAATGGTTGGTTAAAAATAAAAACAACTAAACTGTTAAGAGTCAACACACTTCCTGCCATAGATGCTAAGACATTGTGCTGTCATACCTGAGGACATGGATGTGCCTAGCAGTCATAAACAGCTTTCACTTTGAGTAACAAGAGGCAGGGGAGGATAGCTACCTGTTTTCTATTGCAGCCCATTCCCAAATCTAGCTCTCTCTAAAAAGTCCAAGTTCACAATCTTAAATGTAGTGTTAGCCCCACATAGAAGCTTTGGATTTTTATTTCACTTGAGTCTTCAAGAAACCAGTGGTAGTCAGAGTTTTTGTGGATCTGAAAACTACCCTGATCATTCAACAAACATTTATTGAGCATTGGCACTATGGGACACTGAGCTCATTAACAGGATAATCCCTGTGTGGTGGGGTTTGCATCCAGCTGGGAGAGATGAATTTGTCAACAGATGAGGATGTTAGGATGTGTCACAGGTGCTGGGAAATGAGCCAATCTTTTTAGGCCCAAAGAAATTGACACGTTTTCTGGGCTCAGTGCTGGGCACATTTTCCATTCAGCATTAAGTGTATGGCTTCACTGTGTATTCACTGTTACTATTTACTTAAGTTGCCACCAAAGGGGTCAAAGGCAGTGAACTTCTTCACACAAATATACACTGACACATGCAGTTTGAAATAACTATAGCAACATTTCACAGGAACCCCAAAGTCAATATAGATGGTTCCTATCTAGGAAATTGATTCATATTGGCACAATAATTCCAAGTTGGTTTTCCATTTCTGTCAGCGTTTGTAGATTGCCTTAACTCCCCCATCAAGTGCTCAGTACACAGGGAGGCCAGATTATTACCAGGAGGCAAAGTCACCACAGGCCAAGAATGTACCTGAGCATCCGAATTGAATTCTCCAAAACTGAAGAGCCTGGACCTCAGCTCCAACTCTGCTGCCTTTTCCTCCTCTCGCTCACAGTTGTTTTTAAGTATCTTCTTGTGTTCCATCAGGAAATCAATGTTGTTGTTTCTGTAGCAAAAGAAGGAGGGGACCTTTGTAACTCAAGGTCCCGTATGGAAGTCGGAGAAAACTTGCAGACCTTGGCTCTCTCCTACCACCATGTGGATTCCAGGGCCTGAACTCAGGCTTGGCAGCCAGCACCTTCACTGACTGAAGCATCTCAATGGTCCTTTTGTTGTTCACCAAAGCAAATGCCAGGCTGTCTGGCCCCTGGGCTTCTGCAGGAGTCTCCCGCCTTGCCTTAGGAGCACTGGGGTTACTGATGTATGCTACTGAAGCTGACTTTGACTTTATGCAGGTTCTGGGGTTGAAAATTCAAGTCCTCATGCTTGTTCAATAATTTTTTTTATCTCCTGCATCATTTCCTCATTCCATGTAGTGACAGCTAGCCAGCTGACAGCTGTCCTAGATGGAATGAAGGCAGTGGGTGTCATTTCAACTCTTCCAGCTAGGAAAATACTTTAGCAAGTCAGAGGAAACAGGAAGAACATTAAGTGAAAACCAGTCTATTTTGTGCAAATGTTAAGTTCTATCTTTTTGTGTGTCCAGCATGTAAATCACTTTTAATTAAAATCCCAGCCTGAACCATGAGAAGAGATACCCTGAGTGAGTTGGATGTGACCTCTGGTTAGTAACTGTTGAATAGGAGAAATCACTCACATCTTATCCTGGATAAACTTTTCTCTTTTGTTGACATCGTCGAGATTCTCATCCACATCTTGGGAATACTGGACCAAAGTGAGATTCTGTTCCTCCAGCTCTGTGAGGACCTGGAGCAACTCTTCTGGCTCTTTGAAGTAAATCTCCGGCATCTAAGCAGTCAACAGTGAAGAGAAATGTCTCAGATATGTGCGTGTGACTTGTCTAGACAATACAGGGAGGGGAGCTGTCACTCTTCCACTCACCACGTGTGCAGCAAACTCCTTGAGAAAATCAACTTTCAAGGAGGAACCACTTATTTTTTGCTTGGAAGCTATTGTAGATGTATGATGGCACAGTACATTGTGGCAGGGTCACTTGGTGGAGGCCTGTTCACAGTAGCCAAGAGGTAAAGAGAGGAAGATGCCAGGCAGTGGTGGCACACATCTTTAATCCCAACATTAGGGAGGCAGAGAAAGGAGGATCTGAGTTCAAGGCCAGCCTGGTCTACAGAGTGAGTTCTGGGACAGTCTCCAAAGCTACAGAGAAACCCTGTCTCAAAGAAAAAAAAATACTGAGAGCGAGCGAGTGAGTAGGGGGTCCCAATTCCCTTTCAAGAACACACTTCCTAAGACCTAATTTCCTTCCATTAGGCCCCTTCCCCAAAGATGTTACATCTCTGCAGATACCACGTGGCCTGCAGTGGTGTCCCCACCCTCCCCAGCACTGGGGACCACACAAATGCTTTTGTAAGGGTTCAGAATCTCATACTAGAGTGCCTGGAGGGAGTATGAGAGAGGCAGAGAGAATTGTGAGCCACACTTTGTTCTCAGGGTGAGATGGCAAACTGCAAGAGATGATGTGGGGTATGGGGAGAGATGAGGACTATGAGAGAGGAAAAGGGGAGCAAAAGGAAAGGCTACAGCAGAAGAGGGGGGAGGGCAGGAAAGGGGGAAAAGGGAAGATGGAAAACGGGTGGAGGTTCATCTCCTCTCAATGCTAACTATTTGATATGTTCTGGCTTTTTAAGAATATGTATTGTTTTAAGTAAACATTCTCTTTTTTTGGTTTTAAGATGTATTCATTTATTATATATTCAGTGTTCTGCTTGCATGTATGCCACCAGATCTCATTACAGATGGTTGTGAGCCACCATGTGGTTGCTGGGAATTGAACTCAGGACCTCTGGAAGATCAGTCAGTGTTCTTAACCTCTGAGCCATTTCTCCAGAGATCTACCTGCCCCCCTTAAGCATTTTCAAAGTGACATATATTAACATAATGTGTTATTATTTATAGTAGCCAAGACACAAAAGTAACAAAAACATTCATAGATGGGTGAATAAGGAAATAATATACACACAATTGAACAATATTCAGCCTTAAAAAGGAGAAATTCTTTCTACACTACATTTGTGTGGTTCTGAACATGTGTGTGCCGGTATGTGTACCTCAGATGTGGTTCCTCAGGTACTGCCCACTTTGAGACAAAATCTTTTGCATTTCTGAAATTTACCAAGTAGGATAGGTTGACTGGCCAGCAAGCCCAAGGGATCTGCCCGTCTCTACTTCCCAAGTGTTAGGTTTATAAGCACACAGCCAAGCCTGGTGTTTTGTTTTGTAATGGGTTCTGGGACTGGAGATCAGGTCCTCATGCTTGCAAGGCAAGCACTGTACCTACTGAGCCCATTCCCCAGCCCCATTACCTTATCTTATCACTTAAATGGGTCTTGTGGGTTTTTTTTGTTGTTTTGTTTGATTTCCTGAGACAGGATTTCTCTGTGTAACAATCTTGGCTGTCTTAGAACTTGATGTGAAGACCAGGATGGCCTTGAACTCACAGAGATCCACCTGCCTCCACCTTCTGAGTGCTGGGATTAAAGGAGTGTGCCACCGCCACTACTGCCCAGCTTACATAAGCTTTGAGGATCATTAGGGTAAGTGAAAGAACCCAGTCACACATACACACAAATACCTATAGTGTATAACCCACTTATTTAAATATTTAAATAGCCAATCTCTTAGAAACAGGAAGTGGAAAGATAGTTGCTGGGGGCTGGAGGTTGGAAGAGTGTTGGACAGGAACAGTGCTTCAGGTTTGCCGGATGAAGATGTAGAATCTGCCTCACTACTGGGTGTGTGTGGTCAACACTGCTGCACTGCACATTGAAAATGTGAAGATGGACAACCATGTGTTTGTACACGGTTTTAGAAGCAAGATGACCCGGGTAAAGTATGCCCTGGGTAAAAATGGGTGCTGTTTGGTGGGTTTCTTTTCTTTTTGTAAGATTTATTTTATGTATATGAGTGCTCTATCTGCATGTATACCTGCATGACAAGAAAACACCATCTCTCACTATAGATGGTTGTGAGCCACTATGTGGATGCTAGGAATTGAACTAAGAACTTCTGGAAGAGCAGCCAGTATGCTTAACCTCTGAGCCAGCTCTCCAGCCCTTGTTTTCTTTTTAAAATCAGTTGCATTTAGAATGAGGTAAGCTCACAGTCAGTTTTGCAGCAATAATGGGGTGTTTTGAGGGAGGATTATATGGTTCTGCTTACCCAATAAAATGAAGAAAAAAAAAAAAAAGCGCTGGCCGTGCAAGGATGAGAACCAGGGTGTAAAGGGCACGTGTAAAAGATGGGTGAACATGGCATCCCCCTGTCCCCCCAAACTCTCTCCTTGTAATTACAGTCATTAAGAGGTAGAGCCAGAGGGTCTCCCAGGGCAAGCTGGCTAGGTAGCCAAAATCAATGAGCACCAGATTCAGCCAGGAACCTTGTCTCGGTAAATAAAGCGAGTGCAATTAAGGGATATCCCCAGTGTCAACTGCGGCCTCCACGTGCACAGGCACACATGTGCTCACATACAGGCAAACTTAACACACACACACAACACACACACTAAGCAATCGAAGAGTTGGAGTTTTTAATAGGACAGGTTTGATTATATATCTGCTCCAAATTATTTCCATTGTGTTTTGTTTTTGAGACAGGGGCTCACTATGTAGCTCAAGCTGTGGCCTTGAATTTTGTTGTTGTTTTGGTTTTGTTTAATTGAGTCAGACAACTTTTGTAGGCTGGCCTCCCACTTGCCATATATGGAGGACAACCCAGGGCCACCAAGCCTCCTGCCTCTGCCTCCCAAGTGCTGGGACTACAAGCCTGCTCTGTCACATCCAGCCTCTCGGCCTGAAATCTGTGGTTCCCCTGCCCCACTCTCAAAAGGGCCGGCACACATTCTTATGTTTCTTATAGATGGCTTGATGACAACGATGGGTAATAGGCAGAATTTGAGAACATCAAGTCATATTTCCTTCTGGAAAACGTAATATGTTTGGAATAGGGTATTTCAGAAGAAATGAACATGGACACCACATACAGCTGGAATCAAGAGACACAGTCTGGTTACCAGATCGAATTCCAACTGCTCGTCTTCTAGAAAGAACTCCAAACTGTCCTCTGAGGCTACGCTTTCAGCCCGACTGTAAAAGAAAAATCACTTCCGAGTCATTTTCCATTAGTAGGTTTGCCTTTGCTCTTAAATTGACTTTGAACCCTATCACAGAATTTTTTTTAATTTAATTTTTATTTATGTGTGTGAGTGTTTTGCTGCATGTGTCAATGTATCACATACATACCTGTGTCTGTGGAAGCCACAAGAGGGGGCCAGATGCCCTGTGATGGGAGTTACAGGGAGTTATGAGCTAACATGTGGTTGCTGGGAATCAAACCCTCTGCAAGGGCCATTGCTCTATCCATTGAGCTACCTCATCAACCCCTATTACAGATTCTTTTCATTAGATTACTTATTATTTTAGGGGACTGCTCACCCCACAATTCTACAACTGTACAAAAGAAAACCATATTTAGTCTCAGACAGAGTCAAACATGCAAGGAGACCACACAGAAGCACCAAGCTCCACAGAACAGATTTTTTTTTTAGTGGCATCGAAAAATTAGCTTGCTTTCTCTAAAAACACATGTGACTATCTACTTTGCCATGTCTATTTTGTCAATACCAAAAAGGGTCAACACATGACTTTAAAATGCAGGCCCTAGTGCTTACTCAAGATTACCACCTTCAGAATGTTTTTCAGTAAGACCTGTCTCTTTCAGAGACTGGCTTTTTGTAATAGTTCCTAATCATATGAGGAAGTAAGTATTAGGTAGGCAGATAGTAAGATACAACCTTACAGAATAATGGTGTTGGACCTACAAGATGGCTCAGAGAGTAAAGGCACTTGCTGCCAAGCCTCAGACCCCACATGGTGGAAGGAAGAGAAGTGACTCATGAAAGCTGTCCTCTGACCTCCACATGTGTG